TTTTAATCCAAGGTTTACTTCATTTGCAGGAAAACCCAAATTTTTGTTCTCAAGCATTGTGACTTCTTTATGTGATTTCATGTGCAGGGAGAAAATGCTCGACTTGCTCAGCGTTACAGCATCACAACACGCCTGCTCGTCCTCTACTACGTCCTGTCGTATGAAGAGGCTCTCCTGGCAAATACTAAGACACTAGGTATATGGGAATGCGATCAGCAGGCAACAGCTAAACTGAAAGTTAGATGCAAATACATGAATTCTTACAATAAACAAAGTTCATATTAGTGTCAAATTCAAAACTTGTGTAAGAAGTTTAGATCAGAGTTTATTTGGGAAGTGTAACTCTTGTAATAAAGCAGTGTTACTTTAGAAACTAAGGAGGTGAAAGTTCTACTAAAACTTATGTTTTAAGTTTACACGTTTAAAACTGTCTGTATTCTGTCCCCATTTCCTTATAGCTGCCATGCAAAAAAAACCCAAGTCTTACTCTTCAGCATTAATGGATCAAATTCCAATCAAGTACCTAATCCGCCAGGCACAGGGGCTGCAGCAGGAACTTGGAGGTAAATGTGTGTGAGTCTAGTGTGCATGAAGAAGGAGGGCTAAGCCTATTTCCAGCTTTGCACCTGCTCTCCATTTCATAGCGTGCCTTCTCTTTGGTGCTTATTTTGAAGTCTGTCATGAATGATGTTACAGGTAGGTTTAGAAAGTCATAGTGAAAGTTTGGGGAAGATGAGTAGGTTTAGAGTAGGTTTGAATTACCTGAGAATTTTATAGTTATTCCAGACTGAATTTTAAAGTTACTGCAGGGTTCTCCCACCTTTCCAAAATGGAAGTTTTCTTTTTGTTGGGAGTTAAAATTTTAGCTCTAAACATCTCATTCATCAAACATCAGTTTAATAAATGATTTGGTTATAGTCTGTTACTGGGCTCATAGGGACATAACATGTTCAGGTGCATGATGCAGGTGTTCAAGATTTATACTGTCTTGACCCCCTTTCAGGCTTGCACTCTGCACTGCTCCGCCTTCTTGCTACTAACTATCCACACCTCTGCATTGTGGAGGACTGGATCTGTGAGGAGCAGATCACTGGCACTGATGCCTTGCTGAGGAGGATGCTTCTTACCAACACTGCCAAAAATCATTCTCCCAAACAGCTCCAGGAAGGTAAATATAACTTAATGCGAAGTACACAGTTTTCTTTCCTAATTGTTTGGAATATAGATGGTCTGGGAGTGTATCCACCTGAATCATTTGATTATACTCGTTCTGCTGCAAGCTTGTTTCGAGTCAGTGAACAAACCTGAAGGATTTCTAAAATGTCCAATTTTATCAAAATCTCATTGTATTTATTTTATAGCCTTTTCCATGCTCCCAGGAAACCATACCCAGCTGATGCAGATTCTGGAACATTTAACACTTCTCTCTGCTGGTGAATTGATCCCATATGCAGAAGTACTAACTTCAAACATGAATCAGTTGCTAAATGCTGGTGTCCCACGGAGGATTCTTCAGACAGTCAATAAACTTTGGATGGTTCTGAACACTGTCATGCCACGAAGGTAAGTTCAAACTACTGATCTGTTTATTGTTGCCGATGGGTGGAATGCAGCCTTCTATTTTTAAAACAGTGCCATGCTGCCTTTGTGTGTCACAATAAACTTGAGACTGGGTCCAGGAGTTGGAAGCTGCGATTGACTAGACTGTGCTGGATTTACATTGCTTTGTGCATTGTTGAAATTTTGGATTTGATCTCTATTTAAAAGGAAGGTAGTTTTTGTCTTTGGGGGAAAGGGAGTCTATAGTTGGCTTAAAATATAATGCAATGGTTTTATTGTATATATTGTTTATGACATATAGCTAGAACACTTTCTCTGGTAAGAGTGTGCTTTTTGGAGGCAGTAGATACTCTGTATTGCCAACAAAAACATAGGCTGGTTGACACTTCTCACAATATAAGTTGACTATAGCTTGGCTAACCTCAGGAGCTGCAAATGCAGGGGTTTTTTTGTTGTTGTTTGTTTGTTTTGTTCCTTGGTGGGCTCAGAAAAAATTGATTAAGTGAATATCCAAATGTTTGTGATCCTCCTTTTTTATTATGCGTTATCTTTTTAAAATGTTAAAAATAATCTCATTTGTAGGTTGTGGGTCATGACTGTTAATGCTCTGCAGCCTTCAGTAAAAATAGTCCGACAGCAGAAATACACTCAGAATGATCTTATGATTGACCCTTTGATTGTACTACGATGTGATCAGAGAGTTCATAGGTAAGATCTCTCTTAATTTCCTCTGATGATCTGTGGTGGATGCATAATGAGTGCTATCTCACAGTAGACTTCTGAAGACTTCAAGTACTTCAAAATATTTTCAAACTAGTTGAACTTGTAAGTTCTGTCTCTTGCTTCACTCTTGTCTGAAGCTTGTTGGTGTGCGTGCTGGCTGAACTGTGCAATTTCAGCATTTAGCTCTGTGCAGGTGAGTGTCTGGTTGGACAAACCTTGAAGCGAGGCTTGTTTTGGAAACTGGGATTGTAAATGGATTTGCACATAGATCCATCCATTTTGTTAGATTTGTGCGTGTGATTTTGTTCTGAATAGACATTGTGGCATGCTTAAAATGGCTGCTGCCACATGGTGGTGGTTCTAACTGTTACATCCTTCTACTTTATATTGTCTTTTGCCATCCCTCATGGGTCTGGAAATATTCCATCTTTCTGAGTAAAAATTTCTGCAAGTGAGTGCTTGATGAATATGACAAAAGTAGATTTAATTCATTTCTCAAGTATTTTAGTAGTACTTGGCATGTCAGTGATGACAGGGAGATGTATAACACTGCTTTATGGCTTTGTTATAGAAGAAGCAGCTGAGCATTTTAGTAATAAAAATGTTCTTAACTGATAGCAACAAGCCAACGTTTAAGGAGAACATGAAGTAATGCAAACAATTCAAACCAAAATTTGCAAATGCTTTGCTTTTTCACAGTCTGAAGAAAATTGTATTTGTTATTTAAAAATATGTTAATCATTCTGAATATACTTAAGCCTCTAGCTTTATTCCTTTTGTGTTTTTCCATGCCTTTTGTCAGTTGTAGTTTATTCTTCCCATTTTGCTTTTTCATTATATTTCTGTTCATAATAAAAGGCTAATAGTCATCCTGATTTGTTCTTCATATTCTTGCATGTATCTGTCTGCCCTTGTCTTAGAGCAACTTAGTCATTAATCCAATTTCCATTTCACTTGCTTCATTATGGTACTTCTCTGCTAGATTTCAAATTTCTACTGATCCCATTTCTAATGACAATCTGTAGGTGAAATATTTACAAATATGTCCATTCAGTCTTGGATGAAAATAGATAATACCAATTTTCTAAAACTGTTAGGGAGATTTATAATGTAGTGTCACCTTAGCATTATGGAAACAGTCGTCTGCTTTGTTTTTCTATCTCCATCACTCAGATCATTATTTTGGCTTCATGTACGGAAAATAATTTTATGATTTCTTTGTTCATAGGGATTGTGACCATTAGTATTGTGTTGTGTTATGGAAAACAGATTTAGTATGAACCAGACTATAACCGAGGAGTGTTCATAGTTGGTTATTATTACCAACATACTGCTCTGCCTCCTGAAATACCTTTACTTTAACATGTGTGTCTCTATTAGGAGTCCCCCTCTGATGGATATAACTTTGCACATGCTGAATGGATATCTTCTTGCTTCAAAAGCCTACCTCAATGCTCACCTCAAGGAAACAGCCGACCAGGACATCAGGCCATCCCAAAACAACACAATGGGTCCAGAGACCCCTGAAGTTACCAGGGAAGAACTAAAAAATGCACTGCTTGCTGCTCAGGTAAAAGGGAGAAACAGATGCTAACTGCAGTGGGTAAAGCAATGATAGGCTTGGAAGTTTAAATAATACAGCATGGTTAAACAAACAATCAAAATCTTTTTTAACTTTTTGTTCCCAGGATAGTGCTGCTGTGCAGATTCTTTTGGAAATCTGTTTACCTACAGATGATGAGAAAGCTCAGAGCAGTAATACCCACAGCCTTCTGAAAAGTGTTTACAGTTCCTCTGGCTCTAAGAGCCCCGAAGTAGTGGAAGAAGATGACGACGACAGCTTGCTGTGTAACCTCCGAGAGGTCCAGTGCCTCATCTGCTGTCTGCTGCATCAGATGTACATAGCTGATCCCAACATAGTCAAACTGGTTCATTTCCAGGTCTGGTTTGCATGTTTTAGTTCTCAGCTGGTTCCTTGCTTAGGAAAGAGCCAAATGAAGTGTTGGAATGCTGCTGTTTGTTCCCCAGAAATTGTGATAACCTTCTCTGCTTCCCATTCCCCCAGGCTTGTACTGCCTATGTTTTCTTCCTCTTTCAGTGCAAGTGCTAAGTACTGTGGCCAAGAGGGGAGCAGCTAAATGACGCCTGTTCCTCATCATTAAATATAAGCTTTATTTGTCACTGCCCTTCTGCCTGCCAAAATAGTGTGTCCATTTGAGGCCAGGATTTAAATTAGCTTAATTATCTTATAATTATTTGTTCCACATCTTGTGTTAGTTACTTCTGTCTGGCTGTGTTTTAAAATTACATCATCTGTTATTCAGAACTGAAATTTGGCTTCAAATATAAACTATTTTTTGTTTGGGCATATTTTGTTTGTTTAGAGTAGAAGAAGGGTTGCTTCTGCCAAAACAGTGGTAGAACTTCTTCCCAAAAGGGGATAGAGCGGAGCGATTTTTTTGCTGTAAATGTGTTTCTTGGCGTATGTTAAATTGCTCGTTGCCAGCTGGCTGTGTCTCTGCTGTCACCTGAAACTGATAAAGTGACTAGAAAAGTCATAGTGATCCTGGTGTGAAATAAGCATATGGGGCCTGGAGTGAATTTTGGAACAGAGAGGAAGGGCGCAAAAGGAAGAGGTCACTGCAGCTTGGCTTGGTCTGGGGCATGGAAGGGCACTTGGTGTGAAAAATAATAAATTAAATCTTGCAGATAAAGAATTGATTCAGAGCCAGGGTGTGTTACCAGCCCATTTTGCATGGCTTTGGGTTATGGACTTGTTGCTTAAAGTCCTGAATGAAACCAAGTTGCAAGTATATATGCTTTGAAACAGCACTAGTGCTGTTTTAATCTAGCTGAATATCTTAAGTGGTTAAGATTTTTTTAAATAGTTTTGACGTACGTGTTCTCTTTCCTACATTTTACAGGGTTATCCATGTGAACTTCTGGCCCTGACAGTGGCAGGGATTCCGTCCATGCACATCTGCCTGGATTTCATACCTGAGCTCATTGCCCAGCCTGAGCTTGAAAAACAGGTACTGTACAGTCAACAAGTTTGGGAGTCACTGTAATTAGTTAGCTGTTGAAGTATTGGTGTGGGGAGGGGGGAAATAAAAGGATCACTATTAAGATAACTATGACATAAAATGAAAATTCCTAAAATAATTTAAATTTCTCATTTGCCAGCTATCTCACCAAGTTCTTTCCTCATTCTAAATGCAAGAACTCCCTCACAAAGTCTATCAGAATGACATGAGCTGTTTTCCTCAACTTTATGGTGTATGAATCTTAATTGTAGTGGTTTCTTTTCGGTATAAGCTCAGCAAAGGAATTGGAACTTTGCTTTAGAAGTGTTTCTTCTGTATTTTTGAAGCCTTTTGATTATGAAAAACAGTGATAATTATTACTCCCTTCACAATTTATAGGCCTAGGATTGATATGTTGTAATAAGGGGAGATTAAGAAAATAAAACAAAGACTCTCCCAAACTGGTTTTGCTTGGGGTTTGTTTGTTTGTTTTGTATCAAGCCAACTTTCTAAATACTTGCATTTAATCCCTTCTCAGATATTCAGTTACTACTGATAAGAAGGCACTCACTAAAATTAAAAACAGAATACATTGAACACGAAACAGCTTTTACTGGGATTATGTTGTGAATTGTGTATTGCTTTGCCTCTCACCAACAATATTGGAACAAACTGTCTGTGGTGGAGGTCCTGAATCATTAATTCTGGTACTTGCGTTAATTTTAAACTTCTGAGACTTTTTCTTCATGTGTACAGAAACATTTTACAGTAATTACTAAAAGGCTTCTCCTTATTGGTAAAATGGGAATATTTGCTAAATATTAAGTTATTGAGGAGTTTTGGATTGAAAGTGCAAAGTCATCTGTAACTTTATTGTCTGTTTCTTTTTTTCTTTTCACCTACTTAACAGATATTTGCAATCCAGTTGCTTTCGTTTCTGTGTATCCAGTACGCGCTGCCCAAATCTCTGAGTGTGGCTCGTTTAGCAATCAATGTCATGGGAACCCTCCTCACGGGTAGGCAATTCCAGTGACACCTAAGCATGTTTAGAAATTTAATTTGTCTAGGCTGAATAGAATTTTGCCAAAATGCTAGTGTGTTAATTGTGCTCATAAACATAACAATTCTTGACTACATTTTGGTAATGGATCCTTCTTAACTAACCGTTTGCTCTTCCCTTGACAGTCTTAACCCAGTCAAAGCGCTATGCCTTTTTTATGCCAACGCTGCCTTGTTTGGTTTCGTTCTGTCAAGCCTTTCCACCCTTGTATGAGGATATCATGTCCCTGCTGATACAAGTAGGGCAAGTCTGTGCCTCTGACGTTGCCACGCAGACAAGGGACTTCGATCCAATTATTACACGTACGTAAGGCATCTTCTATTTCAGAAACTCATGTCCCAGGGAGAAAATGATGTTCAGTGTTGCAAATGTTTTGAGTGCCTTTTGAATGCAAAATAAAACTTAGTACCATTATCTTGTAAATACAGAAGAGATAGGGAGAGGTACTCTGTGGAATGAAACCTGGTGTATGAAACAGGAATGGTTCAAATTTACTATTTCACAATATGTGTATTTGCATGAAGGGTATAGTATAACAATTATCTTTGCTGTATTTATTTGCATTTTTTTTAACTTAATTTTCTAGGTCTCCAGCAACTAAAGGAGAAACCAAAGGAAATTCTAGGACTTTGCAAAGATCCATCTTACAAAAGTTGTTCAAGGGACATTGCAAGCATGGACCCTGATGTTCAGTTATGCCAATGTGTTGAAAGTACTATCATTGAAATAATTAACATGAGTGTAAGTGGAGTTTAGGAAGAAGAGAAATGAAATTGTGTCATAGCTAGTATTGCTGTCTGTGATGTCTAAATCTGGAGAGAGCTGCCAACTGGATTGAGAAACCGGAGCACAAATCCTTGTCTTTCATCCAGTGGATTTAGTTATGGCCGAACTCTGTCAAAAGAAAAGGATTCTTCAGAGTCTTAGGCTGCTTCCAGTGAAAACTTCTCACAATTAGCCATCCAGTGAAAGTGGGCATGATTTGTAGGCACGCTGCATTGCTTCAGGAACTCAGCAGCACACCTATAAATGGTTTTATAACACTTCTTGGAAAACACAGGGTTAGTTGAGCAAACGGCAAAACAATGGGTGAAAAAAGTTTGAAGTTGGAGAACTTATGTTCAAATGAATTAGTGTTCCAGAGGCTCAAAGAAGTTGGAATAAAATACCCCACAGATGACTGGAAGTGGTGCAAGTTGTGGCATTGCACTCAGACATAAGAAAATGTGTTTTTTATTTGCTGTTTGAACAATTGGCTGAAGTGTGAATTCATGAGATGAGTAACTTTAAAACTAATTCATTTAAGATCAGTAAGCCCTCATTAAAAGTTTGAAAGGGGTCTAAAAGAAGCTTTGTATTACAAATGAACTATGTAAGCAGGATCTTTAAAGCATATATCTTTTGAATGCTGCTCAGATGTCTTATTTTTTAAATGCAGCACTTAGTTTAAAAAGAGATGAGAAAGATTGAGGGAAGTAAAGTACAAAGTATCTGAATTGTCATTAGGTTAAGATTTAAAAAAAAAAGGAAAGGGGTATTGGATAACAGAAGATAAATTTCACTGCAGTGAATGGAATGACAGATTTTAGCCACACCAGTGTGGTTACATCCTCAAGACTTGCAGCTTGCGGGACAAGAAAACGGAAATAAAATTTAAGGATTGGCTGGCTCTGTTGGCAGAGGTGAATGTAGCTCTGCAACACACTGTAACTGCTTGAGTTGTCAATCCAGCGTTTGCTGTTGTGAAAATGACAGTAGTCTGAGTCCTTAACTAAGATATTTCTTTCATTTTAAACCACTTTATATTCCAGAATTCACCATCCAGTAGTTTACTTTGGTCTGCTGCCTGTCTTGCCTAGCTTTTCTTTTAGATGGGTTGGGATGTGATGGAGAAAAGCTGGCACTGAATGGCCGAGCCAGGGTACTGTGCACATTCCTGACTTACCAGCATGCCTGCTGCACCAGCGTGCTAACACCATGCGTCTGCCACAAGTATTTTTGGCATTGTGATGTAAAGTATGTAAATAATTTAAATTTATGTATTTTTTCCTCTTACACCTGTGTTTTTATATACTGTAGTAGATATTTAAGTAAAAACAAGTGTATGTTTTGGACTCCTTTGTAGATGTGCCTACTTTTACTTTTCCTCTATTGACTTAAGTTTATTAGCTTGACTCCTGTGTTTGATAACAGGGAAAAAGCCCTCCTAAAAAGTGAGAAACCCCAGGAAAGTGCAGAATTCCAGTCTTTCTAGTGAATGGCCAAGGAGAAGACGTAAAGTTCAGGGTTGTTTTAAATGAACGAAATCTTCAAAATTATACACAGGCTCCGCCCCCGCTTCCCCGCGACCCTCGTTACCTGCTGGAGGCCCTGAAAGGCGCTGCCGCCATCACCGCTGCGA